CACTATTTGCACATGACATGATACTCTATATAGAAAACCCTAAAGACTCCACCAAAACACTACTAGAACTGATACATAAATTCAGTAGTCATAGGATACAAAATCAATGCACAGAAATCTGTTGCATTCCTGTATGCTAATAATGAAGCAGCAGGAAGTGAAAATAAGAAAAGAAATCCATTTATAATTGCACCCAAAAACAGGAAAATATCTAGGAATAGACTTAACCAAAGAGGTGAAAGGCCAGTACTCTAAAAACCATAAAACACTAATAAAAGAAGTTCATGATGATGCCAAGAAATGGAAAGACATTCTCATGGGATGGAAGAACAAATGTCTATACTACTCAAAGCAATCTACAGATTTCATACAATCCCTATCAAAATACCAACAGTATTTTTCACAGAACTAGAAGAAAGAATCCTAAAATTTGTTTGGAACCACCAAAGACCTCAAATAACCAAAGCAGTCTTGAAAAAAAAAAAAAGAAAAAGAAGAAAAGAGAAGCAAAACTGGAGGTATCACACTTCATTATATTACAAGTTACATTGCAAAGCTATAGTAATGAAAGCAATATGGTACTGGCATTAAAACAGACACACAGATCAGTAGAATAGAACAGAAACCCAGAAATAAATCCACAATTATATGGTCAATTAATCTTCCGCAGAGGAGGAATGAATATGCAATGGGAAAAGGACAGTCTCTTCAACAAATGGTGTTAGGAAAACACATTGCAGCCACATGCCAAAGAATGAAACTGGACCACCCTCTTGTACCATATGCAAAAGTAAACTCAAAACGGATTAAAGACTTAAATGTGAGACCTGAAACCATAACAATCCTAGGAGAGATCACAGGACGTAATGTCTCTGACATCGGCTGTAGGAACATTTTTCTAGATCTGTCTCTTGGGGAAAGGGAAATAAGAGCAAAAATAAACTATTGGGACTACAACAGAATAAAAAGCTTCCACACAGCCAAAGAAACAATCAACACTAAAAGGCAACCTCCTGAATGGGCAAAGATATTTGCATATGACATATCTGATAAAGGGTAAATATCCAAAATATTTAAAGGACTGAAACAACTCAACACAAACACAAAAATAATCCGATTAGAAATGGACAGACAACATGAACAGACATTCTCCAAAGAAGACATATGGATGGCCAATGGACCCATGAAAAGATGCTCAATGGCACTCATCATCAGGGAAATACAAATCAAAACTGCAATGAGATGCCACCTTACACCTGTCAAAATGGCTAAAATCAACAACACAAAAAACAACTTATTGGCAAGGATGTAGCGAAAAAGAAACCATTGTGCACTGTTGGTGGAAATGCAAACTGGAGCAGCCACTGTGGAAAA